AAAGGCATTTTATGACTTGCTTCATGCATCTACAATTCCACTTGATAGTTTTAAAAGAAATGAGACAGTGCTTAGCTGGCTTTCTTATATGTTGCATACAAAGACTGCAAATAATATAACTGCTAATGGTTTTAATGCCATTCTCAAAGGATGTAGGAGGTTGTTAAGTGCTGAAGATCAAGAAAAAATTCCTACAAACTTTCATGAAGTAAAAAAATATATGAAAGGGCTTGGGTTAGGTTATCTAAAAATTGATGCTTGTGTTAACAACTGCTTTTTATACTATGGGGACCATACGAAAACATTGACTACATGTCCAATTTGTGGAGAAGTGAGGTATAAACAGAGAAATCTAGGGAGGAATAGACAAAAGGACATTCCAAGGAATTCTCTTTGGTACTTGCCAATAATACCTCGCCTTCAGAGGCTATACATGTCTCGAAAAATAGCTGAGCACATGACATGGCATTTGAAATGTTGTGGTGATACGGATGAGGTCATTCATCTAGCACAATCAGAAGCACGGAGACATTTTGATCAAATGCATCCTTCTTTTAAAAGAGAACCTCGTAATGTTCGATTAGGTCTTGCTACTGATGGTTTCAACCCATGGGCTTATTATCATAAGCAAAACTTTATAATGCAGGCTATGTTGATGTGGACCATAACTGATTTTTCAGGTTATGGTATGGTGGCTGGTTGGAGCATTCATGGCCAATTGTCATGTCTTTACTGTATGGAGATGACACAATTTTTTTATCTTCAAAATGGTCAGAAACCATGTTTTTTTTATTGTCATCGTCAGTTTTTACCGGAATCACATTCTTTTAGATTTGATTATAGTAATTTCTTGAAGGGTCAAGTTGAATTAGGTAGTCCCCCTCCTCGATTGGATGGTGTTTCAATGCGTCACCGAGTTAAAAACCTTCTTGATGTGTTGTTTGGGAAACCCTTTGAAAACCAAACAATTGAGGGTTTTGGGAACATCCATAATTGGGTGAAAAGGTGCATTTTTTGGGAACTTACTTATTGGCATGATAATCTTATTCGACATAATCTTGATGTAATGCACTATGAGAAAAATTTCTTTGATAATATAATACACACTGTTATGAATGACAATAAGACAGAAGACAATGGGAAAGCAAGATTGGATTTAGCCATTTATTGTGACCGAAGAAAACTGCACATGGGATATAATACGCATGGTAAGCTTGTGAAACCTAATGCTAGTTATGCACTGACATCTGAAAAACAAAAGCTTTTATGTGCATGGCTAAAACGGTTGTGCTTTCCAGATGGGTTTGCTTCCAACATATCAAGATGTGTCAACTTGAATGAGTCCAGGTTATTTGGGATGAAAAGTCATGATTGTCATGTTTTCATGCAACGACTAATTCCAGTTGCTTTCCGCGGTTTATTGCCATCTGTTATTTGGGGTTTTTTGACCGACATTAGTAACTTCTTTTGTTCACTTTGTTCCCTGGTCATTAAAGTTACTGAGCTGCAAAAGTGGGAGGCAAAGATTGTTGAAATAATTTGTAAGTTAGAAATAATATTCCCCCCAACATTCTTTGATTCTATGGAACATCTAACAATTCATCTTCCATATGAGGCCAGAGTTGGTGGTCCTATTCAATTTCGTTGGATGTACCCATTTGAAAGGTAAAACATACAAAGAAATTGATAATTTTAAAACTTACTTTTGATTACTTTTTTTAAAATTAATCTTATCAATATTTCTTTTCAAGCGAATGCGCAAACTTAAGAGCGCCATAGCGAATAAAAATCATGTCGAGGCATCAATTGTTGAGGTATTTATATTATACGAGATATCCCACTTCTGCTCTCATTATTTTGGGGATGATGTTGAGACAAGTTGGAATCAGTCTCTAAGGAACTATGGTGGCATTGGAACCATCCGTATTTTGTTTCCCTGATGAATCAATAGGTGCCCACTCATGTACACGATGTTTAACATTGGAGGAGAAAGATGCAGCTAAACTATATGTCTTGCTAAATTGCAAGGAGGTCGATGCTTCGGTAACGTAAGTTTTACTTCTTAGGAAAATAAGAACTACACGATGTTTAATAGCCTATATGATTTTCATAACGTTTTAATTAATAAATAAATGTTATTTTACAGTAAATTTGAGGAAGAAGTTGGTGCAAATTTGTCACATGAACAACTACAAAGATTGCGAACAAATAATTTTGTTCAATGGTTTAAAAATATGGTAATAAATTGTTCTATATTATTTTCTCAAATTTTTAATTAAATATTAAATATTACTAAATTAAATTATTTTTCAAATATAAGTGTTTAGTAGACAATATGAAATCAATGAACAACTTATCCACCTTGCAGTTGGCCTGATCTTTGAAGTGAATGTTTATAATGGGTTCTAAGTGAACGACTTTAGATTTTTGACTGAAGAGTTTACTAGTAATAGAAAGACATATAACTATGGTGTTTGTGTTAAAGGAACCACCATTAATTCTGCAGATGAAACTGATTATTATGGTGTCTTAAAAGAGGCGATCGAGTTATTATATTATGGACACTCAGGCCATCAAGAGACTATAATATTGTTTAATTGTGATTGGTATGACATGGACCGAGGATTACGTGTCAATGTTGAACACAGAATTGTTGATGTCAATCCAAGGTTTAAACTTTCAACGGGGGAGCCATTTTACCTTGCTAGTCAAGCACAACAAGTTTATTATACTCCATTTCCGGCAGCCACGGATAGAACTACCCGGGGATGGTTGGCAGCATGCAAAATGAAATCTAGACATCTAATTGAGACCTCATCTACCTCATCTTCAGGATAGGTTGATGATATTTTTCAAGATTATAACCCCTCCATAATGCAAGGCTTTTCATTAGCTATAGATTTAACTACATACCAAT